GCTTATACTGAGTGGTACAGCCAGGATCTGAATTCAAGTAGGACTAACATGGAAACTAGTGCTCCAGTGGGTCAAAGTTGGAAGCCACCAATCATTAGGCTGTGTTGTTAGAAAGAGCCTTGCAGCCCTCAGCTGTAGCACCCTGGTTCATCAGACGATGAATATATTGTTCTAAATATTCCTATGACTGATACCAACCCTCCTCAAGGTCCTGGAGAGTCTCCCTCCATCCTTTAAGGAATTAATCTTTCCCTCCTCTCTGCTTGTGCACATTCTGTCTGTTCTCTAACCGTGTGGAAGCTTTTGGGGAACAGAGGCGGCCTGATTTACCCGAGCATTCCTAAGGCCTCCAGGTGATTCTGATGGAGGGGTAGGGGGACTGCCACCCTTTACGGAAACACTGCCTCCAACTACTGGTAACACTGAATTGAAATCATGTTCAAAAGAGGCATGGATAAAAGTTAATTTCTACTCTCCATGCCAAAAATAATTTTTGTAACTTCCTAGATCTTACGGTTTTATGGTATTCGGTAATCTCTGATCAGACCTGTTGCAGACCAATTTCATTAGTGGCCCGACACCTCAGTTTTCAGGTACTGGCAAGATATCTGGTTCCGTTTCTATCACAACGTGACTCTCAGAGTAAAGAAAACCGGCCTCCGTCTTACTTCCCCATCTGCACAGAGACAGTCAGGTTTTTAAGTTAGTCGGGAAGGTATTATAAACCCATTTGAGACCAAGTGAGAGAACCTTCTTGTGTGCAGGGAAGGGGAAATCGCTCTTATCAGTTTATCTTTAAGAGTTTTTTAAGACTAAGTATAAAAGACTAAATGCTACCCTAAGCTAATGATCCTCAAAACTGCATCTAAATCCTGCACATATGTCCTCCCCAAACAAAATGAATCTTCAGGCAAGAATCACAGGGGTAGAATAACGTGTCCTGACCACTTGATTACCAAAAAAAAAAAAGTAAATGAGTGAAGATTTCGCCATAGGGGGAGCATTTCCCAAGTAACTAGATATCAAAGCTTGTAAAGCACACTGTACTTAGTTCCACCTCAATTGCAGACTCAGAAGGAAAGAAAAACACAGGAACAAATAGTTTTATTTAACCATGGGTGACTGGGAATTTTATGAGCTATAGAAACACAGTATTTGGAAATCCATTATAAAATTAAGCACAGAAACTGTGAATCCCAAATGCTTCAGATGATCAGAATGTACCAGGAAATGTGGAGCCCCTGACCCCCACTGAGGACAATACAACTGGCCATGAAGAACATATTTGGGGTGAAAAATAAAATTCATACAAATTAATGAAAATATGAATGTATGCTCTAAATCTCCAATCACTCCCAATTTCTCAAGATTAGGAAAATAAATCTTTTCCAAACATCAAACATTCAGCATGACTTTTATAACACAAACTATAGCCTATGACATGTATTGAAGCTACTATCTCTGTCGACAGGTAAGTGAATTTCAAGTCTCATCTTTTGGAAAGGTCCAAACTCAGTCCAAGAAGCTACCACTCTTAAACCCTGTGTCAACACGCTTTTATGGGGCAACAAAGAATAAAACAGCGTAGGGATAGGATGTGTCTTTTTGTTCTGCTACGTCCCCAGTACCCAGAACACAGCCCAGTACAAAGTAGTATATAATAAACACTTGTGAATCAATACAAGATACAATATACAAGAAGTCTAAGCTGAAGCTGGTTTTTGTGTTTTTAAGAAAAGAGTTGGTCCTCTTTCAGGATGGAGGGATTGGCAGGAGTAGGGGGAAGGTTATTCCTACATTAATTATCAGGTGGTCCTCCAGGTAATGGCTCCCAGCAACTGAGCTTTATTCTAACCACTGCAGGAACTCTGGTCCCATCAGTCACAGGGCAACTTCACCCTGTGCCTCAAAAGCTACCATCCAACCCTCTTCCCTCACAACCAGGACTGTAAGGAGCCCTGGACTGCCTCACATCAGCTGTAAAAACTTACAATGGCTGCACCTCTGCCTGGACCCTCATTCAGATGTGATTAGGGATGAAGTATCTAGTCTTTACTAAAACCCATACTGTGCGTTTGGGTCAAATTTTAATGGGCGGGGGCACAGACCACAATTTGGGCACCTCATTTTTATTATGAATTTGGCTTAACTTATTATGTAAGCTCTTCTGTCTTTTCACATCTGACTCAATAATAGCTACACATTTTTACAATTATGTGGCTGCTCTGAACACCACTTGAAAGTGATTTAACTGCTCAAAAAAATCTTGACTTTTATAACTAACTCCCTGTGTTTCTCAACAGGCATAAATAGATTTAAATTCCCCTCCCCCAAAAAAACCCCAAAGATATATCTAAGCTCTGCCTACCATTTGCACAGAAAATGAGTGAGAAAATAAATAAGAAATCGCAGATTTCTGTCATCTTAAAATTTTCCAGGAAAGGTACTAGTTGGAAAATGTTGGCTTTTACAGTTATGAAGAGCTCTACAAATGCCCTCTGAGCTCTTGAGTTCAGGTCCTGAAAAGGAAATGTACAAGGTGACACTGGAACACACTGGGCCAGAAAACAAGGAAGCTATAGACAACCAAAAGGACACAGGCACCAACTAGGAAGGGGCTTCCACTGTCCAAATCTGGGACAACTGGAACATAAAAAATGACTGCAATGGATTAGAATAAATTAAATACATAAAGCAAACATATGACTTACCTTTGTAGGTTGCTTGGGCTCTCAACCATTATTGCAAAATTGGTAAATAAAGGGAAAGATCATGTGATCTTATCTTTCTTGTATCTTAGGGAAACCAAGTCATTGATGAAGAAAAGTTTCTCTTTAAAGAATTCCAACTACTAATGTAAATAGAATGACAGAATTAGAAAACTATCACTTTCAACACCTAATGATATATTGGATATGGGCACTAATTATGAATATTTGCTAAAACCATTACATAAATGATTGATAGGGAACTTTTAAAATAGAGTAATCAAGCTAATAGCATTTGAATCTGTTCATCAATCTTAACATCATTAAAAGTGAGACAACCAGCCCTGGCCCGGTAGAGTGCCATCCCCTACACCGAAAGGTTGTGGGTTTGATTCCCAGTCAGGGTACATACCTAGGTTTCGGGTTTGAACCCTGGTCGGGGTGCATATGGGAGACAAGTGATCAATGTTTTTCTCTCTCTTTCTCCCTTCCTCCCTCTCTAAAATCAATAAAAAACCTTATCCTCTGGTGAGGATTTAAAAAAAAAGTGAGACAACCAGACATTATGTACCTTCTGTGATTCAACTGGAAGCACAAACCACCTATGGAATATTGGACCTAATAAAGTCTCTACGTTTAATTAACAATTTACAGAAAACAGGGGAGGGGGGAGATGGATAAGTTAAACTATAAAGATGCAAACAGTCAAATGCAAAATGTAGAAAATTAGAACAAATGTAATTTCTTCAATTTGAAAAATGGCACAAAAACTAGGGCTACATGTCACTTATACATTAAAAAAAGACGGAAGAGACATATTAACCAAATGTAATGAATGACTCACATTTGAATCTTGACTTAAATAAACTAACATCATAAGGGCATTTTTGAGGTATCTGGGGAAATTTGAACACGAAGTATTACATGATGTGGCAGCCATAAAGATGAGCCTCTCCGTCGCCCACGGCTCTTTAACTGACGGTTGCAGCTGCTGCGGTCTGAATGGTGTTCAGGGGAGGCCCTGCTTCCTACTGGCTGCTCCCTGCCAACAAAGGAGCAAAGCAGGAATAAAGGCAAGCCCATTCCTGCAAGATGAGGGTCTCCTGAGGAGAACTGGCACTTTTGGCCTGAGGACTTTCACAGCCTTGCTAAAACGTTGAACTGTTGTGTGGGTGAAGACTTCCTGCTCAACCCCCCTCCCCTTCCCTCCTTCACGTCAGTCAGACCTGTATTAAGGTCTCCCAAGCTCCCCTAGCTCCTGCCCCACTTTTCCTCACAAGTGTTTTCCCCGAATAAGTTTCTTGCAGGCCTGCCTCTCCGGGGAAACTGAACTAAACAGATATTAAGAAATCAGCATTAGCCCAGCTGGCGTGGCTCAGTGGTTGAGCATCGACCCATGAACCAGGCTGTCATAGTTTGATTCCTGGTCAGGGCTCTAGCTCAGGTTTGGGGCTCCATCCCCAGCAGGGGGCACGCAGGAGGCAGCCAATCAATGACTCTCATTGATGTTTCTCTTTCTCTCCCCCCTCACTTCCTCTCCCTGAAATCAATAAAAAAATATTAAAAAAAGAAAAAAAGAAATTAGCATTAAACTTGTCAGGTATGACAATATTGTGGTTATTTGTAAGCCCTTATCTCTTAGAGAGACACACTCAAGTATTTACAGGTTAAATGATAGAATGATTGGAATTTAATTTTAAAATATTCCAGCCAAAAAGAAAAAAGGAAAGAAAAAAGGAGGGATAAAATAAGATTGGCAAGATGTATTTTCTCTACTTTTGTATATAACTGAAAATGTTCATAGTAAGAAGTGGAAAATACCTAATAATCTTCAAAACAGTCAAAGTCATCAAAAATGAGGAAAGTCTAAGAAACTGTCCCAACTAAGAGGAGCATAAAGGAGATAAGACAACTAAGTGTAACCTGGTATCTTTGATTGGATCCTGGAACAAATAAAAGACAGTAGGGAAAACCTGAGGAAATCTGAATCAAGTATGGACTTCAGGAAGTAATAATGTATCAATATTGGTTCATTAACTATGACAAATATGCCATTCTAATGTAAGACATTAATAGTAAGACGTTAATAGCGGTAAACTGGCTGTGGGGTTATTCAAGTACTCTGTACTGTCTTCATAATAATTCTGTAATCTAACTGCTCTCAAGTTTTTGAAGACTAAAAAGTAGCTTATTTAACTATCTCATCATATTTAAAAAATGATTAAAAGACGATAATCTCCCCATGGACCTCCCCACAGTGTCCCATGCATGCAAAAACAAACAAACAAACTATAACTGCGATGAAGTATTTATTTGTTTCAATAAAGTATTAAATTTTAACAAAAATGCATTATTGTTACCAAAAACCTTCAGGCAATAACAGAGATCGGTCTTAACAGATAAACAAAGATTTTGTCCCACAGTTTCTTAGACTTAAGAATTCATTTGTGTTCCAGAGATACTGCTAAAACTAATGGGTTTATGTCAAACTGCCAATATCCATGCTGAGGCTTTTCCTGATACAGTCTTTTGCAATGTAAGCAATAAAAAAAATTTTTTAAAAAGACCACTTTTTTTACAATCTAAAAATAAAAATGTATAATGCAAATTTGCAAGCTTTGACCTGCATCAGAATCACTTAAGGGCTTGTTTAAACATAGATTGCTGGGCCTCAGCTCATTCAGGTGTTGGGTGGGGCCCAAGAATTTGTATTTCTAACAGGTTTCTAAGTGAAGCCAAAGCTACTAGTATGGGGACCACACTTTGAGAACCACTGGCAAAATATTCAGTAGGACAGTGATTATGTCATAAAAGTGAGTATGTCATAGCATAAGGCACAACAAGTCACTCTGTAACTAACCTTGGGCAACTACCCTTCCCAGTCTGTACCTTGCATAAGTTCTAAAGAATCAAATAAAAACAATATTTAAATCACTTAACACAATGCCTGGCACTACAGAATGTTTTTATGCTATACTAAAGTAGGGTAAAAGTTATATTCATATTGTTAAATGAGTCACTATCCTTAGCTGTAGTGACTCAGTTCTTAAGGTATATTGATCTTAAAAGTGTTATAAGAAATGGGAGGCACTTTTCAGCCTCATATGATCATCATTTAGCATTTCTGAAGTGTCCATTTACTCATTCATTACAATTTTCATTGATTCACTGGTTTACTTTAAACAGTAAATAATACAGTTAATATGAGAATTGCTGGCATAATTTTACTATAAATTAGTGATGTTGTTCACTGTCCTGAATCATATGAACATGAAACTTTCAATCTGCTATGGAAAGCCAATAACCATCCAACTTTTTTTTAACACTTTATCAAATGAATGTATTTTTACCAAAAGTGACTTGAAGGTTCTTCAAATGGTATTTCCTATGTCTCTGATAGTTTTATTTATGCTTTTGCACTAAAAATCATGAGAGAAATCAGATACCTTTCTACTAATTTTTCTTAAATTGCTTTCATAAAACTGAAATGTCCACTGATAATATCAATCTTTGTTTAACCACGTAAATAGTTCACATTTTAAAGGAATACATATTTCTCTGGATAAAAGCCTATAGCATAATATAAAGATGGCGAATTTCATGGCCCATGGTATATCTAAAGGATGGCAACTGATCATATATGAATTAAAACTATAATTTCTACTGAATAATGTTGCACACTTTAATTTTAATTAAAAAACATACACAGCAGTCAAAAGTCTTATTTGTTTTTCTTTCACATATAGAAGGTCAAAGCCCAATCTACCTTTCCTAATTGGCTCATCTTAATTGTCTTCATATTGCTCAACTATCTGACACCAAATAGAGAGCTTTTTCCTCTTAAAGGCATCTTTATTCAGTCACAGAAGTTTTTTGAAAGTTAGAGTAAAATTTTTCATTTGGTCCAGTATTAAAAGAGGGAAGTTTCATTTTCTAGCTTCCTTTTTAACTTTACCTGCTTAGACATCAAAATAAAATGAATGGATCGTAAAAGATATTATATCTTTTTATCTATCTCTTTAACATGAAGGTCCAACATTACATAAATTCTTTCCAAGAAGTTGACCAGGAATAAAACATAACCTCTTGTAGAGGTGAAAAGAGAAACTAGAAGCATGAGATTAAGAAAATATGTGGGCTTTTTACAGCTACTGATAGAACTGTGTGCACAGAGTAAATCTAGAATTTTAAAAAGATATTTGATGAAGTCTAAGATAAATGGCTCCAGTTTCAATTATAACTAACAGACCTCACAGATTTTTTCAACAGGCTTGCTCCAGGAATGGAGTGTGTTCTTATGAAAGGACTTGAGACATTATCTAAACATTCTGCCTGAACGATGCTTGTGCACTTGTTAGACATGTAGGACATTACTGAAAAGATTAACGTACGAGTTCTAGAAGTAAAGAAGACTGATTAGCTTGTGCAGGTGTATGAAGAACGGCACATTAGCAAAAGTTATGTAAACCATTTACTGAAAAAAGAGAGACAGGATTTTTACATTCTCAGACCTCTACTTATCTTTTTCAAACTATGAAGGACCTGAAATTCTTTGAACACCATCAGACGTAGCTGATAACAGTTCTTATTTTGAATTAAGAAATCACTCATGTAGTTTTAAAACACAAACATAATTAAAATTTTCAGTCAGGTTGAAATGTCAACCTCACTTATTCAAGGATCCTCACCATTAATGTGGTCAGATCTCATCCACTCTGTATTGTTTTTTTAAACATTATACCTTCTATAATAATATACTAAATAAAAATTTTAGTGTACTGCATACTGTTTCAGTAAGAGGCACATAAGATAATTAGAATATTAGCATTTAATTTCAAAAGTAAAACTCATGATCAGGGTTTTACTGACAGTACAGTAAGAAAATAACCAGTGTTAAAAAATAAATGAAAATTTACTTTTTTTATTGAGTATTATTTTACATGCAAAGCATATTAAAGTGAATCAAGCTGACTACTCTCCATAATGAAATCCTATGCAATGGGAATTGTGAAAGGTATCTACACAATACTAATATGGGCCAAAAAATTATCCAGATGTTTTTCTAAATATTTGGATTACCTTAATAAGCTGATTTTTCAAAAGCAAATTTTAGCTTTCATATGGTCTTTGCTGGTAGCTTAAACTTAGAAGAAAAACATAGTAATAAAAAACCTGAATAGCATAGCCAAATTTTTCAAGAGAAAAGTAATATACACACACACATTAGGTATCCAGAGGGGGGAAACAAAACAAAACAAAACAGGCATGTAATAAATGTCCATCAAGTGACCATGACTAACATTCTATTATTACCACAGTGACTGTCCATATGTCAACTGTTTATTAGACTTAAATACCTAAAACGAACCAGTAATCAGTAATATATAAAGAAAAACTAACTTAAAATCATGCTTGAATACATCAACAGTTTGGTGTATCTGACATACATTGAAGTCTTTTTACTTCATTACTGCTATAAATTCCTTTAAAATGTTCTTTTCAAATACATAATTACCTAAAAGAAATATGGTACAATACTTCCCAACAGGTCTTTCACGCCAACACTCAGTAAATGCTGCAGCACATTAAATGGTACCTACTAACTAGACCTAAAAGACAATGGCTGAATAATAAATACAAAAAATCCTTTTGAATGAACTATTCAGATTAGACTGGTTAATGCTACTTATGATCGCACTTTGTGCTACTGACTCAGACCACATAGCTGTACACTGCTAGATGGAAGGGCTGGTCCATGTCCATTTTTTTAAAAACTTCTGAAATATCTGTAACTGTTGACTAATAAATACTTGCTAAAAGAATGGGTATGAAAATTTAATGTAACCCTCTCATCCATATTCTTCTCACGTACTCCCACATAATTATTTTGGGGATGAGGGTATGACTTTAACATGATATGAGATTCTAGCTAAGTAAAATAAAAAAGTATGGGCTTAGGTTTTCTTGGGTAATGGTTCAAGTCTTTAGACTGAGAATAAAACAACCAACTTCTATACATCACCGACAAACTAATTAGCATGGGGGGAAGTGCCTTTGAGGCACATGAGGAAAATTTTCATTGTTTATTGGTATTATGCTTTCTGTTTAGTGGAACTACAAAAGAAAAAGTGTCACTAAGTTCTAAGTAATATAAATTACAATTCTAGTCAATGGGATGTTCGTTATTTATGAGAGCGAGCATAATTCCAACACAAAAGAAATTTACTGTTACATATTAGGAGTGGTTCAGATACAATAACAGACTGTTTAGCCCTGACCTTAACATGTTATTTTTAAGTTCAGATTCCTGAATGCTAGTTCCTTCTCACTTAACATACTCCTCTCAATGAAAAGCTGATGCACTTGGTTTTTATATTACAAGATGAAAATATATGCCTGACTCTTTTAACATATTACTAACAAAAGCATGTAAGTACCAACATTGCATGGAACTTACCAGGCACAGGCTCAAGATCATAAAACTACAAAGAAGATGAAAGATGACTATCACTGTACATGTGAATATTGTCTAGGACATCAGATCAATTACCAAATCAAGGCCTTTCCTATTCTGCCTTATGGTGTTGAACATATGGACATGTCTAATACACTGACTTGTATTATATTCAACAAAATATTAGTGGATGCAAAATCTTGCATTTTAATTTCTAATTATAAAAATCCAGATTAACCCAGAAAACATAAAACACATGTAATTGAGGTAGGTTTTTGACCTTAAGAATACATTGCTTCTACCACAATTAAAAAGTTATTTTAAAGAATAGACTGCTTCATGTATCTGCCCCAATACTTAAGTTTCTAATGTTTTAAACTACTTGATCAAGTGTGACAGTGCTAATCTACTGTATTTAGTAAATTCCCTTACAAACACATACCCTAACACCTTCCTTTTCCCCTCTGAAGGTAACTGTAGTGCAATAAAATTAATAACAAGTCTAGAAAAATGAAACAGATTACTTCATCAATTCTCAAGTTAATGCATACCGAAAATCACGGAGGCAAGTCCTGTTCATTTGAAAGTTAATAACCTTATTGTTTTGAAAATAATATCATAAACACATGATAACTTTGGATATGCTTTATTATGCCACAAATTCCCAGGAAATATAAGAAATATTCTTTCTGAATGGAACTAGTTTCACAAATACTAGCACTTTACTGACAATAGCCAACTTTTCTACGGTGGTGCACATGTATTTAAGATACCTTTTCAAAATCTCAATATTTTACAAATTTTAAAGGGATATTGCAGCAGATCCTACTTTATTTTTCAATAATCAGTGTAAAAATCTGTATGTGACATACACACGTATTTCAAGGAAGAACTGCATGTGGAAGCTTTGCCTAAGTTCTCAGGCACTGCATATGTACCAGGTACCAGCATGTAAAAGATCATTGACGGAAATATTTCCAATAAACTGAAGAAAAGGAAAAAATTTAAAACTGTTCAGTCTTTAAGTATTAACAACTGGTATAATTTTTAAAAGGGACATGGAATATTCCTTTACTTACACATGAATTACACAGAAAATACAAAATACTTCTTTTACGGAAAAACTAGCACACTAATATGTTAAAGCTAGAAACTGACAGCATTTTCACAACATCCAAAGTGTGGATGGGAAACTAGGCAATGCCGATCCTTTTGCCACATACCTAACTAAGGGTAACTAAAGGGAGATGAGTACCTCAAGCCAAAGGTGGTAACTGAGCCTGGCAGACCACCTGACATGTGGGTAGTGGATCACCGTCCCATGTAGGGTAATGTTCTCCAAAAAGGATGCACTTACATAGTAATTCTGCAACTGTGTCAAGTTTGGTAATTTAACACTGAACTTGTTGGTTAATATGCATGGACATATGAAAACTTCCCCAGTGACCAAGTTATTAAATAAACTAAAAGGGAAAAAAATGCTAGTAGCTAAAATTATGTTAATTCCAGAGTCTTCAATGGAAGGTATAGAAGGAAAGAGGCAACAGTAGCTGTTTCCAAACTTATGATCAGAATCATCAGATGGTGAGCTTTAAAAATTCTGTCCAGGGTCTCAGTCTAAACCTATCTAGGAACTACAGCCAGGAAACCTCTTTTTAAGCCACCCAAGTAATACTGATGATCAGTCAAGGTTAAAACTTCTGAAGGGGAAAAGGGTGTGTGGGAGGACTCTAAGTCACTGCAGAGAGTTTTAGAACTTGACATCTGATTTTCATCATTTACTCTCCATGTTTTCCAACTGTCTCACCCTTCCCATTTTTCTAATAGTGAATAATGAAGGTGCTTGGCAAGTGAAGGAAAAGGAATCAGTGGGGAAGCCAAAAATGCATTTTACTATGTTCAAGCCACTGATGTGTATTTATTAGATAAATGGGTGTCAGTATACTGTTTGAGACTCAACTATCAGGTATACATTTCTTAATATTAATGTTATTTTAAAGGAGGGGATTTCCTTACTCAACATGAAAATGTAATATAAAACAACTCTAAATACTAATGATAATTAATAAAAAAGAAAATATGTATAATTCTTCAAAATAATTATTTTTTTAAAAATCCAATGTTAGGAAGAAAATCCCTTAAATTTGAGGTAGGGCAATAATTCTCTCATATGAGAACAACTGTGTCAGTATTATTCTCTCAGTTAGAAATTAAGCCAAGTATTTCAATACTAGCTCTGTTTATGTACTCTTTCATAATGTAGTATAAATGATTTTAGTGAGAATAAATATCTTGGTTTTGATTTTAATGCATATGATAATTAAAGATATGAATTTATTTTCTTATACACGAAAATTGCATGCTCTCTCCAAGCTTGATGAATAAACAACTTCTTAAATATCCCATGTTCACTTATAAACCTAAAAAAGGTAGTACCTATATAAGAAATTTTGTATTAAACTTACAAATGTATGTTCCTCAGAAGTTAACATGATTTTAATTTTTTCAATATTCAAATACAAAATAGTACATTTTAATTTACTATAGCACAATTCAAGTATTCTCTTAAATTTTGTATTTAACCTAGTTAGTACATGATATTAAGTGACTTTTTATAATAGCTTTCCTTTTTAAAGATGACTGTTACACAAAATAGTGGGACTCTACATTATTCTAAATTGGTTAGATTAAATTGAAAGAACACATGACAGCAGACAAAGACCTTTATGAGTAAATCACCTACACATAAAAGGTTGAACACCTCATTAATAAGGCATTTGCAGGTAACTCCCAAAAGTATTTGAATTCATGTAAACAAAGACTATGTATATTCCTTTAGGGAGAAAATGCACTACCATAGATAAAATATATTCAAATGGTTGTGACTTTAAACCATATATTATTTGAATACCACACAAAACCAAAGAGTTATCATTTTAATAACTGAAAGATGTTACTTATTCGTGAAATAAAAAGTAGATACTTTTTGAAACTAACAATGAAAAAGAAATCTTTTTGAAATAAACATCCACTGTTTTCCAGAAATAAATATACATACTTAATGTATTGCAGCACAGGAATAATGGTCCTAGCGTTAACTGTAACATTCAATCAGTAGTTTTAAAATATCTTTTCCACACTGAGCCTGAATCTTCTACCTTGTCAGCTGCCCAACAACTTTCAACAGAGTTTTATTCTCCTGCTTTAGTTGCTCGTTTTCATCTTCTATGTCATCTAGGTCCTTAAGGAAACAAAAAGGAATATATTACGGGAGTTTTTAAAATATTCTAAAGGTGATTAAAAACACTTCAAAAAATACACACTGAGAGTAAATTCATACAAGCAATTAATTTGGAAATGAGTGCAAGTTCTGAAAACAACTTTAGATAGAATATGCCCCACTTAAGACGAGCATCCACCATTCAACTCCTTCTCACTGTTATCATGAAAATATGAGCCAACTCTTGCCAGAGAGAATCCAGAAATTAGAATTCTTTCATTGTAAATCTTCCAAATTTTAATCATTAAAAATAACTTAATTTAAAAAAATAAAATAAAAAATAACTTAATTTTTTATGTAAAAAATTAAGCAATATGATGCTCAGGGGCTCAGACTACAACCTTCTGTCAGATTAGGCATCAAAAAGATCCAGGTACAAGTTCTAGATATACTCCTACCACTTTGTGTGATCTTTTATATGTGTGCATGTTATGGGGTGAGACTCTGGGGAGCTGATAGAACTGAGGCATACAGAAAAGGAGACCTGGGGCATATAGAGTTGATATAGTTCAATTTATATGTTAGGTTTCTCTATGACATTTTGTTTGAGTGAAAGGTTTAGAGCTTAAAAAAAAAAAACGAAAGCCACTGAACTAAGTAATCACCCTCTGCTTTAAAGTTATGTGATTCTAGCTCTAAGTTCCCTATATTAATCCTAGTGCCTTGTATACAAAGACGGTAAATACAAAGACCATTTACTCTAAGTTTTAGTTAGAAGAAACATTATTTCAAGACAAACTATTTACTGATGGTTAGAAAGCAGACATTTATAGATTTATCCTAGCAATTCAAAATACTAAAACGTAGAGCAATCAATATATTATGTGTGCTACTGGATAGCAGCATTCTGATAAATTTAGTATAATGTCTTTGGGCAATTAGGTACAAGATTTTTAAATGTATAAAAACAATTAAATGTATAATTGGCCTGTGTGGCTCAATTGGTTGGAGTGTCATCCCATGCACCAAAAGGTGGGGGGTTAGATCCCAGTCAGGGCACATATCCAGGTTTTGGGTTCAATTCCCGGTCAACATGGGTGCGGGAGGCAACTGATTGATGTTTCTCTCTCTCACAGCGATGTTTATACCTCTCTCTCCCTCTTTCTCTAAAAATAAATAAATAAAAATTTTAAAAATGTACAAAAACAGAATTTGCATTTACTCACAAACTAAATGAGTGATGCTGAAAAACTGATCTGTTGAAAACAACAATACATGATTCCTAAAATTACGAGACTTATCTAAGATTCAGAATTAAAAATGATAAAACACATTATATATCATTACTAGATTATAAGCTCTGTAAGCACAGGTGTTTATTATTCTCTTTAATGTAGCAGTGCCTAAGGCAGTGCTAATACATCATAAACACCAAAAATATTTGCAGATGTCCAGAACCAATAGACGATGCCTGTGTTCTGAACCAAACGAAAGGCAGACAAGAATGGAAGAACTTGTTCAGAATTAGGATTCTCGAATACCTGAGGTCAAATACTGACTCAGCTGATTACTATGTGATTACATATGACTTTGAGCAAGTTAAACTCTGAGTTTCAGCTTCTCATCTAAAACCTGTAGTTAATGCCTTAAAGCTTTATTATTCTGCACATAATGAAGACTCTCTATTTTCTCTTCTTTCACAGTCAGAGTTAAGATTGGATTAGAAATCTGTTCCTTTTTTCCCTGAAATAAACATTTCCTTCTTCTGTCTTATCTAAAGTCTTCTAAAAACCAAAACAATGGAATCTGTTCCCATCTCCATTACCTAAGTATGTTCTAGCATTAAGACCTGTTTCTTAAGCAGGAAGTTCAAGGGCTAAAAGGAAAAAAAAAAAGAGCTACAAATAATCATGAGAAAGACCTTCAGATAAGGCTTAACCTAAAGTTGATAATGCATACATACAACTGAAGAAAAAGAAGAAGTGAAAAATACAAAGAAATTTAGAATTTCCTATGGCAAGAAAGTAGCAACTATAGTTCTTTATTGAGGAAACTCTGTGTCTTTTATGTGTAGTGGTGACCAAGCTGCCTCTCACCTCCAGACTAATAAAACACAAAGCAAATTCTATTCATTAGTCCATCTCCAAAAATAATAATATTAAGTGAATACAACTGATAATTGGACAGAGGAAATCAATTTACAGAATGAAATGAGAGTTCTTACTACCACCAATTACTATCTAATTAACAAAAGAATGAACTAAATAATGAAATTGAATAATTTCTTCATATTTATATATTTTCATCCAATTGCCAGAAAAAAAGGAAACCATGAAACTGAAATATGTAAGTACTCACTCTATTTAACAAATCAATTTCTTCTTTGAGTTTTCCAATCATTTCCTCTTTATCTTGCATTAGTCTCACAAGTCTTAAGTTTTCTTGCCTTTCTCTTAATACTTCCTGGAAAATATAATTACAAAGTTGATTAATTGGAAAATAATTGGTGGTTAAGTGGCATACATCTGCCAAATTTGGTGAACTACCTTAGATATATGAAAATTTCCAATGAATTTTCTTACGTCACTTGATGAGGGAAGGAAAAAAACCATCCCAGAAAAGAACCGAAGAATGAGAGGAATACAGGAGTTCTAAGGTATGTTTCTGATTAAATCTATGCCCAAACAAGTCTTTAACAAATACTAATACTCAATGAGATCCCCTCTTTAGCTTATCACCACCATTAGTAATAGTAATAGTTTTTAATGAATAATATCTGTTTGAGAACATTCAAATTTATTAAAAATACAGTTTAAAAAGTTTACTTTGTTGTGTACCTGAAACTAATATAAGTTCCAGTATGTCAACTGTAACTGGAAAACAAATTAAAAAATAAATTCTTTTTTTTTAAAAAAAAAAGGTAAGGAGATAGCTCCATGGGAAAGTCTAAATGAAAAAATAACAGCCCTCAGTTTTACTTCCCACTGTTAGTTAACTGACAATGGATAAAATGAAAGAACTGAAGTAGATTACTGGTTTTTAAGCTTATTTTTTTTAAATAATGCAACACCTCTTTCAAAGAAATCTTATTTAGGATCCAGGGACTTGGGCTGGGTCAGCCACCCTGAGGGCAAAAGAAAAGAACTGAGAAAGGTCTTGCCCAGAACTTGGCTTCTTTCCTACTAACCCTCAGAGAAGGCAGCCACCTGGCCTCATTCATCAACTGCTGCCACCTACTAGCAAGTCAATCCAAACGCTTGTGGAACTTCAAAAAGCCTTTCTCAAGGATCCTCTTGAAACCTACTGAACTATGTATTCCTTAAAGTTTTTAATTTAGACCTATAGAAATTAGTTTGAAAGCACAGATGTGACCTAAAAGCAATGATGTGACAAAAAGAAACAATTTTAAAAACTAAATTTCTACTAAAAACAGTCTATATCAAAGGTAATAATTTCAATTCAGCAAAACAGAACAAACTTTCAACAATCAGAAAGTAATTCAGTACCGTTATCAATTTTAGAGGTTGGATGTCTACAGAACAAACCTAATAAATTTATACCAATATCCATTTGCACTGTTTTCAAAGATACTACTAAACAGGTTTATTCTTAAAATTGTTTCAAATATCATCTGTATATTTCATTAAGTTTATTAACCAATGTCACCCCCATAGATTTAATTTAAAAAAATTTTTTTTAATTGTTTCAAACACCGAAGATGGCTCTGGGCTCTAACTCAGAACCCAGAAGAAAGTCTACAAATGACAATCTGTACAGATAATATAATAAACACACAGTAGTACATGCTGCCAGGAAAACTTCTAACCATTTCAAAGATAAAGACTATTTTCATTATATTAAAGATAGCACTTGGCAGAATGGGAATAGCCACTAAATATTAAGGAATAAAAGCATTGGCTCTACTTCTGAAAGTTTTAACATCAACAGAACTGGATACAGGAAAATACGAAGGAAATCAGAAAATGCCTAGCCACTATGCAACTACACAATTTACTTAAGACAGTGCTTCAAAGCTGCTATTTGACTATATATGGAAATACCAATTAACACTACTGATATCTTCCATTAGTGCCCTCACTCTTTTCCCTTCTCTGGCACCGTCTCTCCCCTACAAATTTCTATTTGTTTTCTCTCTCAGCTGCTAATGCAAGTAAAAAAAGGAATACAAATAGTACATTAATTTATCAATCTTAAATAACTTGTAATTCATACCTTTTCAAGGTCTTCAATTTTCTTTTCCAATGTGCTACTTGAGACCAAATTACCTGAAGCATTTGCATCCCTGTTATATCTGCCAAGCCCACTTCTATCTGTTCGGGGATATCTACTTGAGATATCTTCTTCAGAGGCAGTAGTTGTGCTATGGAAATAAAAAAATATATATATATTTAAAAATACCTAATATACTCTGCAAGAAGAATGCCAAAAATATTTTGTATTCACCATAAACAATTACCATTCCTCTGAGGACACCTAATTATAGTAATCAACTTATTCATAACTACAGAAGTTAATTATTATTCCAACACAATGACAATCACTCATTAATTATTTTGACCAAATCTTCTGGATAGCTGGTAAGTACCAGACACTGTTCTGGATACTGAAAGTGTAACAGCAAACACAGACATGGACTCTGCCCTTCAACTTAACAGAGACTATAACCAATTATAACAAAGCAAGATGATCATCACAATAAGGTAAGTTAGAGCACTGTAACAGGGACCTAATGCAGACTATCTGTGGTGAAGAATCACTTTTCTTTTTCCTTTTTTAAAAAAAATTCCAATCCACCATGGACCAATACTTTTACAAGACCAAATAAAAATGAACTATTGGGAAAATAAAAGTAAAAAAGGCCATACAAAATACAAGTCCAAATGTTTTATCAGATTCAGACCCATAAAATTGTTTCAATAATATAATTAGAATAAACAGAAAAAAAGGAAAGAATTACATAAAATTGCATATTTTTCATTGGAAGTATGCAAACAGGCAATAATAGGCTATCACACTAGTAAGTCATCTGAAGGCTTGACTGGACTGGAGGACTTGCCTCTAAGCTCACTCACATGTCTGACGGCAAAAGGCCTGTTTTCCACTGGCTACTGGCCAGAAGCCTCAGTTCCTCAGTATGTGGGCCCCTACATTGGGCTGTTCACCACATGGCAGCTGTCTTCCAGAGAGAAAGTGACATAGCAACCAAGACAAGACACTATAGTTTCTGTTCTGCCCTAATCTCAGAAATGACATACTACCACATTAACCTGTGTTGCAACGTGTGAGGAGATTACACAGGTTCTAAATACCAGGAGGTAGAGCTTCCTGGGGGGCTCTCTTGGAGGCTGGCTACCACACTTGTTAACTTACCTATACTAGGTTGGACTGATGATTACTCTGCTCACAAGGGATAAGGTATATCTAAACTACATGTATGTTTTGTTTCAATAGCTCTCATAACAGAAACTAGTTTCACAGATGTATGCGGACAGGAATAGAAGAGATTTTATAGGAATTTCAGTAAGCTCAGAATATTCATCTTCAACTTTTACCCTAAATGCAGAAAATGACGCCTTTCAAAATGCCTCCAGTCCTTCATTAGCAATCAGTTCCAATCATCTGTCCATCAAAGTTACAGTTAAATCTAAAATAGCTTTTGATGAAAAAAAAAAGATCCCTGATCTATTAATTTCTTAGGCATGGGTTTCTTGTGCTTTAATCCTCACCTGAGGATATTTTTTCCATTGCTTTTCAGAGAGAGTGGAAGGGGGAGAGAGAGAGAGACATCAATGTGAGAGACACGCATCAATTGGTTGCCTCCCGCACGCACCCCAACTGGAGCTGGGGATTGAACCTGCAACCGAGGTGCATGCCCTTGACCAGAATCGAGCCTGAGACCCTTATGTCCGTGGGCCGATGCTCTAACCACTGACCAAACCCAGCTAGGGCTGCATGGGTTTCCTTTTGATATAAAATTCAAAGTGTGTCTTAGCAAATTTTGTAAGTATCTGACTATAACATTATGCAAATGTGCAATACTAAAATCACTACTAACTTTACTGATAATTGTTACAATATTGTGGAACTCATCATAATTGGTAGAAAATTCCCCCAAAATTTCTACATTTTTGTCCTTTGGTCTTATATAACACTGAAAACATTTTACATTTCTCCTTTGCATGGAAGACTAAGATCATTAAAAAAAAAAAAGATCAGAGAAATAAGTCTAATTCACATATTTAAAAAGCTGGGGATCAAACTGGTTTCTTAGCTTGCAAAAACACTGAGTTCATCCCAAAGTTCAAATACTTTTGACTGAAAATTTCCCTTTGAAAATTACTGTTTACTTCAGCATACAATTAACAGTTGATTGGTACAGCTTCCAAATTGTCATTTACATTTTTGAAATCTCAAATTTAATGCATTAGTGTTTAAGTGATTCACACTTTTAGTGAACCACTGTTAATTTAGCTGATATAACAAGTATATTGTTTAGTTCAGCTGAGATAGCAAGACTTTCTCAAAGAAAGAAGCAGGACATTAATTTACATTCTGGCGTAAGTTCCAGCATGTTTTCCCCGTCACTGTCTCTACATAATCAGAACATGCTCCTACAAAAGCAAGCAAAACTCCAAACCACATTTGATTTGTTAACACTTCAAAGTTTTATATACTTCAGAGCATGCTGTGTTTGTCAGCAAGGAAGTTAAAAAACAAAATCTTCATATCACTGTCCAAAAGTCAATGTGTTAATTAAATTTTAACAAAAAAATTCCTTTGCTATCTTTGTTGAAGAATTGGTTTTCTGTATCACTAAACTAGTGATACAGAAAAATACAGAAAATTATGGTATTGCTGGGAAGTATTACACAAACTACCTTCTTTGCTACAGATTCACCCAATATCTCCAAGTAAATATCTTTGTCTTATCATTTGTGTGTGGTATTTATTTATTTATTTATTTATTTATTTTTAAATATATCTTTATTGATTTCAGAGAGAGGAAAGGAGAGGGAGAGAGAGAGATAGAAACATCAATGATGAAAGAGTCATTGATTGGCTGCCTAGCCCACAACCCAGGCATGTGCCCTGACCAGGAATCGAACCTGATCGCCTGGATCCTAGGTCGATGCTCAACCGCTGAGCCACGCCCGGCCGGGCTGTGTGTGGTTTTTAAATGTTAGCAACCTTGCCCGGCCAGGTGTGGCTCAGTGGTTGAGTATCGACCTAGGATCCAGGAGATCGAGGTTTGATTCCTGGTCAGGGCACATGCCGGGCTGTCTCTTATACACATCTAGATGTGTATAAGAGACAGCACTTACANAATGTTAGCAACCTTGCCCGGCCAGGTGTGGCTCAGTGGTTGAGTATCGACCTAGGATCCAGGAGATCGAGGTTTGATTCCTGGTCAGGGCACATGCCGGGGTTGCAGGCTCAATCCCCAGTTGGGGGTATGAGTCGATCAATGACTCATCATTGATGTTTCTCTCTCTCTCTCCTCCTCTCTCTGAAATCAATAAAGACATATTTTTAAAAAAAATAGATATATTTTTAAAAAATTAAATGTCAGCAACCTGAAATGAGACTCTATAATTCACAAAACATTAATGATTACATATGAAATCCTGAAGATCTGCTCTGTCAGCTTCTTAACAGTAATATTCTTTCTTTCAAATAATGCATTTGTGGTTGTGAATATATTTATGTCATGCCTTTTATAAATGCCACTTAAATTTTGATGGTTTTATTGTTTTAGTAGACAGTACATCACTGCAAATAACCTGCTGTGGTTTTAGCACTTCCCCATCAATTATAGCTAATATAGTATATAGGAGGGATAATGCTCCCCAACAAAACTCTTTTGTTCTGTATCTCTTTGAAATTACTTCCATCATCATCACTTCGTTTACAAAAGTCACATTCAGAAAAGGTATATCTTAATGCAACTAAAAAATAGAAAATATACAATAAAAAATATACATTTTTAGAATAAAAAATATAGATTAGAATAAAAAATAAAAAATTAGAATAAAAATATACATTTTACTTCCTGGGTTTAGATAATACTAACAAAAGCAGAAATTGAAAATAATTTTTTTACTTTATTTATTTGCTTAATTATTATATATTTATTTTAAAATTATTTTATTAATGGAACAAGAATAAGTCTAATTAATCCAAAACGAGATTTTTAAAGTAAATAAATCTTTACATTTTCTTCAACTCTTAAACATTTTGGGTTACCAATGACTAATATAAAAATAACACATGTACAGTGGGATACACGTTCTTCTCAAGCTCACATGGAACATTCACCAAGACAGGCCATATTCTGGGCCATAAAACACATCTTCACAAATTTGAAAGAATAGAAATCATACAATGTATGCTCTCTGGCCACAGTAGGTTTAAACTAGAAATCAGTAAGAGAAAGATAACTGGGAAATCTTAAAATATGTGGAGATTAAACAACACACTTCTAAATTACATGTGGATCAAAGAAGAAATCTCAAGAGAAATTTTAAAATATTTTGAACTAAATGAAAATGAACCCACAACTTAAAATTTGTGGGATGCAGTGAAAGCAGTGTTTCAAGGGAAATTTATAGCACAGAATGTGAATGTTAGAAAAGAAAGATAAAAAATCAATATCCTGTTTCTACCAATGGATACTACAAAAGCAAGAGCAAATTAAGTCCAAAGTAAGCAGGAAAAAAAATGAAGTAGAGTAGAAATCAATTAAACTGAAAACAGGAAACCAATATATAGAAAATCAATAAAACCAAAAGCCTTTGAAAAGATGAATAAAATTAATAGGCCCCTACCCAGGCTAACTCAGAAAAAGAGAGGACAAGACTTCAACTACGTGACATGGTAGAAAACGCAAAACTATGGAGAGAGTACAAAAGATCAGTAGTTGCCAGCAGTTGGAGGAGAAGTAATGGGGGAAGAAATAAATAGATGGAGCACAGAGGATTTTTAGAGCAGTGAAACTACTCTGTATGATACTATAATGGTGGATACATGTCATTACACAATTGTCCAAACCCACAGATGCACACCACCAAGACTGAACTCTGCTGTAAACTATGGACTTTGGGTGATGATGTGTCAATGCAAGTTCATCAATGTAACAAACACGCCTCTCTGTTGGGGAATGCTGATAATGGGGGAGGCTATGCATTTGTGTGTGCGGACAACAGGTATGTGGGAAATCTTTATACCTTCCCCTCAATTTTGCTGTGAACCTTAAACTGTTCTAAAAATTAAATTAAAAAACTGCACCATGGCACTTGGACTAGTCCATACCCTGTTCAAGAGTCCACTGACCACCATATTATATATGACTATATATTACAT